GCAGAAGGAATATGAGTGAAATGGAATGACAATATCATTTTTTATTATAAAAATAAATAAAAGCTTTTTTTAAAAAATAATATACTTTTAATAAATTATATATAAATATTTTTTTAATAATATATAAAAATAAAATACTATATTTTTAATAATATATTTTGAATAATATATACAAATAGAATAATATATTGTTTAATAATATAAAAAATAATATATTTTTAATAATATATAAAAATAAAATAATATACTTTTAAATTATATATAAAAATAATATATTCTTAAAAGTAATATATTTTTAATAATATTTAAAAATAAAAAGTAATATATTTTTAATAATATATATTTTATTTTTTAATTAAACAGTAAATAAAAGTAAGTTTTCAATTTTTTATTTGAATTTTATTTTTTAAAATAATATATTTTTAATAATATTTAAAAATAAAAAGTAATATATTTTTAATAATATATATTTTATTTTTTAATTAAACAGTAAATAAAAGTAAGTTTTCAATTTTTTATTTGAATTTTATTTTTTAAAATAATATATTTTTAATAATATTTAAAAATAAAAAGTAATATATTTTTAATAATATATATTTTTAATATTTTTCAATAATATATTTTTAAAAGTAATATATTTTTAATATATAAAAAATAATATATTTTTAATAATATATAAAAATAAAATAATATATTTTTAAATTATATATAAATGCTTTTTTTAGTTTTATTTTTATATAAGTATTTAATATATCTAATTAAAAAATAAATAAAAGTAAGTTTTCAATTTTTTTATTTGAATTTTTGTTTAAAATAATTTTATTTAATATATTTTAATCATGATTTATAATATATATTATATATTTATTTTTTATTATTATTTGTTAATTTTATTTTTTGAAAAATTGATTCCTACACACATGAGAATGAGAAAACTTTTCATTTACTATGGAATGGTTAATCCCATGGAGATGGGTTTTGCCATTCCCATTGGAATAATAGTCATCCCTTCCCAAAAAATATACCAATCAAGGGATTGTTCCTTCCTACTAATCATGTCATTAGTATGTAAAAATTGATATAGAAAACTAAATTAATTTGTTAACTAAGATTTTTTACTAGGGTTTTTTACTAGATATTTTTGTTCACTTTTCCAAAATTAAATTTTATATTTGATATAACAAACTAAATTAATTTGAATAGATGTTAATTCTAGAAGATTGTTCAGGGTAGTTTATATATATAAAAAAAATAAAAAATAATTGGACAAAAATAAAAAGAAAAAAAAAATTGTGTACAAAAATAAAAAGCACGTATTCTCATAATACGTTTTTTAATTAATTTTTTTTAAAAATGTAATATGGTAATACGTTTTAAATTATATTTGTAAAATATTAATTTTTTAAATAATGAAAAAACAGTATAAAACGTATTTTAATAATACGTTTTATAAAATAAATTAATAAATAAAATGTATTTTGATAATATGTTTAATAAATAATTAAGAATGTTTAATAAATAATTAAAAAATAAAACGTATTATCATAATACGTGTTATAAATAATTAAGGAATAGAACGTATTTTGATAATACGTTTTATATTTTAAAATTAATGAAAAAAAAATTAATAAGTAGTATGTATTTTATGTTTTGGGCACGTTTGGGCTCGTCTGAATTAGGAATTGAGTTCTGTTTTTTCCTATACGTAGCTAACGAACCCCTCTATTCAATGATGCTTGCATGGCTAAATTATTCTTGAAATCATATTCTACCAAAGCTCTTGACTGATACATTAAACGTGTTTCGCGCGACTTTTCTTTTTAGGCTCGTTCGGACTCGTCCAAGCTCGAAATTGATTTTTGCTTCTTCCTGTATGTCGCCAAGGAACCATCTACACAACCATGATTGCCTGGTCAATTTTCGGGCTAAATCTATTTCTCACGGAAATAATTAACAAATCACCCATTATATAAATAGATGGTACATGGAGGATTTGTTAATAGGTAATTTGTTAATTCTTTAGCCCCGTGCGGAATAGATTTAACCAAAAAATTGACCGGGCAATCATGGTTGTGTAGGCGGGTTCATTGCGACATATAGGAAGAAATGGAACTCAACTACGAGCTTGGACGAGTCTGAACGGGCCCAAAAAACAAAGTCGCGCGAAATACGTTTAATGTGTAAGTCAAGAGCTTTGAGAGAATATGATTTCAAGAATAATTTGGTCATGTATGCATCATTGAATAGAGGGGTTCGTTAGCTAAGTATAGAAAAAAATGGAACTCAATTCCTAGCTTAGACGAGTCCAAACGGGTGTTGTTGTCGTTCGCGGTCACGGGGTCTTCTACCTCCACCAATATTGGCAGCAGGTTGATGCCTCGCCCTGTGTGACTGTGTACTCTGGGATGGGACGTAGTCCTCCTCGGATAGAACTTGACTGAATGACGCCCCTTGTGTGACCTCTTGTTCTCCAACAGTCAGAGAACTATAGATATTCTCCTGGATGAGTGCACAGAAGATCAACATATTTGGATGTATAGGGGGTGGATCTTCTGTTGGAACATACGTGAAGTCCACTTGTCTGATAAGGTTCTCCGTCAGTTTGGGTGTCAGCAGTCCATCCCCCAAAATTTGATGATTAGTGGTGAGCAAGAATGAGAGACACACCACAGAGGCCCTGGAATGACTGGGAGGGCATTTGGTGATCGGGCCGCCTTTCATTCACAGCTTACCAAAGGCTGAGTCGATGAAAGAGAACAAAATGTCCTCCAAGATGCCCCTGTGGATCACTTTCTACAGGCTGAGTAGGGTTACATTGATTGGTTTTACACTAGGACTGTAAGACTTATCAGTGACCCTACCAAGTACACGGTGGTCCAACAGGACGGCCATTATCAGACAGTTTTCGAGCGGGAGAAGTGCGATGTAAGTGTTCATAATTTGTGGTTCTTTATTATTATTATTATTTTTTTTTTGGTGTTTCATACTAATTACTTTGAATTTATTTTCAAACTCAAGCCTGGAGGAGGTTTATAACTCGTTAGCGAATATTCAAGACATATTTCCTACACTCCTTCCACGGGCACATGCCGCATTCCAACAGTCCTACAACATTATCTGACAACAGTTCTACAACATTGCCTATAGATTTCTGACTGTTGGAGGCCAAGAGGTCACACAAGGAGCGTCGTTCAGTCAAGTTCTATCCGGGGAGGACTACGTTCCATCCCAGAAAACACAGTCACACAGGGTGAGGCGTCAACCCCCTGCCATCATTGGTGGAGGTAGAAGACGTCGTGACCACGAACGACAACAATGCCCATTCGAAATTGAGTTCTGTTTTTTCCTATACGTAGCTAACGAACCTCTCTATTCAATGATGCATGCATGATCAAATTATTCTTGAAATCATATTTTCCCAAAGCTCTTGACCTACACATTAAACATGTTTAGTGCGACTTTGCTTTTTGGGCCCGTTCGGACTCGTACAAGCTCGAAACTGATTTCCGCTTCTTCATATATGTGGCAAGCGAACCCATCTACACAACCATATAAGAGCATATCCAATGGTCTATGGATTGATCTATTTTATTGTCATGTGGCACAATAAATCATACATGACATTAAAAGTGTCTAAGAGTTTTTCTAGACGTAGAAGTACTTCTAAACATCTTCTATTATATATTATAATATTTATTAAATTTCTCTCATTTTCAACAAATTATAACTTTTTGGGTTAATTGCCAAAAAAATCACAATCTTTTGCTTAATTGCAAATAAAACTCAATCTTTTAAATTTTGCAAAAAAAATACAAACTTTTATTAAGTATTGCATAATTGTCTCAAAACTGAATTCCGGTGAAGGGGCGCTGACATGGCAGTCGGAAAATTGACGTGGCACCTAAAATGTAATATTCAGTGCCACGTCATCCGACACGTCAACCTCTAAGTCACACTCCCAT